CACATTATTAGGGACATGAATCTAAATCTGCTTCCATGTGACTTACATTCATTAGCCTATATGTTAGTCTGCTTGGCCTACTATAACAGAATACCACAGACTGGCTGGCCTATAAACCACAGAAATGTATTTCTCACAATTTCAAAGGCTGGAAAGTTTAAGATCAAGGCACCAGAATTTGGTGAAGGTTCCCTTCCTGGTTCATAGCTGATGTCTTCTCACTGTTCTTCACATGGCGGAGAGGACTAGGGATGTCTCTGGAACCTTTTTTAAATTTAATTAATTTTTAGAGAGAAAGAGAGCACGTGTGTGTGTGTGTGTGTGTGTGTGTGTGCGTGCGCGCGCGCGTGCACGCATGAAGGTGGGAGGGGCAAAGGGAGAGAGAGAGAGGGAGACGGAATCTTAAGCAGGCTCCATGCTCAGCATAGAGCCCAATGGGGGGGCTTAATCCCATGACCCTGGGATTGTGACCTGAGCAGAAACCAAGAGTCGGATGCTCAACCAACTGAGCCACCCAGGTGCCCCTCTGAAGTCTCACTTTCTGAAGCCCTTCTGAAGGCCTCACTTTCTAATACCATCCTATAGGGCATTAAGATTTCAAAATGTGAATTTTGGAGGGACACTAACATTCAGACTATAGTAGTCCATATTCTTCCCTCTGGAGCAAAGCAAACAGAATTACTCACTCTTCAATATTTTAATCTTACAGTAGAAAATAGCATTATAGAGCTGAAAAGGATCACACAGAATAACAAAGCCCATCCCTTTTGAAGAAAAAAGAAAGAAAACTCAGAAGTAGTCATAGAGGGCGTACATCTAATTGCATGTTAGGGAGCTATTACCAAACTCCTCAGACTGACATTTCCACTGATTCTTAGGTCTTTTTATTATTCTATTTTATTGTTATCATGTTACTCACCCAGACCATGTATATTAAGATAATAATTTCTTGATTACCTTTTGTCTGGTGAAAGTTAAACAATTTTGCTAGACTTTACTGATGACCACGATATTCAAAAAAGGAAAAAATAGCAGTTTGTTTCTCAGTTAAGAATTAAGATAATCATGATCAAGAGATGTCTACCCAAACTATTAGAGCACTAGGTAAAGTAGTTTTTCAAATATAAAGATACTAATCACCCAAAAAATAAAAAAAATAAAATGGAATGGAAGTGAACAGTTGTACACCCGTGCACAGAGCAACACAGTGCTAACACATTACTAACATTACTAACATTACTAACACATTATAACACTTGCAGAATTTTCCAAGTTCTCCTGGAGCATCTAAGTAATCACAGACCACAGTTTTTACCAAATTCTTTGCCACTATAACACCTGTATTACCATTTTTCCAGCCTCAAACATCAGTTTTTTTTTTCTTTTTTGCCATTTGCTGTCCAGCCTTTAAGACAAAAATTTCAGCCTCCTGTTGTAGCAACACTTAACTTCTTGGATCAATTTCTATATTCAGCAGGATGCAGTTTCAAATAATCCCCACATCTCAGGGCCTTAACATCTGCAAAGGATTATTTCTCACTCACACTATATGATCACTGTGTTGTTAAGAATGCTTGGTTTACACTGGTCATTCAGGGAAGGTGAATGACGAGGGCTCCAGCTAGATGTAAACTTTCAGTTGCTACGAGAAATGAGCTCCCTTCAGTGCTTCTCATTGACAATTAAATGCTTCTACTTAGATGTGACACGTGCCACTTTCACTCACATTTTAATTCGCCAAAGCAAGTCATGTGGTCAGAGGGGGCAGAAAAGTGCAAAACCCTCCTGTGTCTGGAAGGCAAAGTACTGGAGTAATTGTGAAGCCCTAATGAACACCAGATTTTCCAAAGCCTCCTTCTGCCCATTCCTCTACTCATCGCAGAAGACTGTCTCCCTTATATTTTTAAATAAAGCTAAGCTTTTGGAAAATATTATCCCAAGATGCTTCCCATCAAAAGCATACAAATTGTTTCACTAGAGAACAAATAAAATGGGGAAATAGGAGCTAACATAAATATCATATTACTTGATTTTAATATTTTTTAAATTTATTTTTATTAAAGCACAGCCCGTGCACAATGTTACATTAGTTTCAGGTGTATATTACTTGGATTTTTTTTTATGTCTGGTTATGCATATGTTTGCTTCAGATACAAGTGAGTGGAAATGATTTTTCATAACCCTTCTGTAAAATAGAACAGTGTATGGAATTAATCTAGGATTTAAATTCTTAGATCTTGTTCTTTTTAATTATCAAAAGGGCTGAGAAAGGGATTTTGGAAGGGAAGTTCTATAAATATTCTTCCCTTTCCCATTTAGTATTTTCAAATACAATCACTTTAGTCTCACCCCCGGCATAAAAGCCCGTGTGCTATAGCAGCTCTGTCTTTGCACAATTACAGAAAGAGACAGGAACCATTTTCCTCAACATAGAGACATCTATCACTAGGAATCAAGGAAGAACTCAGCCCCACAGTTACAAAGGAAACAGTAGCTGACAGACATCTGTGAATTAAAGCAGCTACATGTAGGTAAAAGGTAGGTTTACCAGAACAAAATGGCATGTCGTACTGCTAAAAATGCTGCACATAATCACACTGCAACTTAGGAAAACTTTCTTTGCAAAATTTCTTCTCCAGTACAGGCTGTCCACACTAATCACTGTTCCCTTAACTGAGGCAAAACCAAAAGAAAATACCTCTTTTTGAGTGGGTAACACGCAGTGTGTAAATACCATCTTTTGTTACATTTGAAACCTTGCCAATGATTTTTGTATGTTATCTCCTAGAGCTAAAAAAACAAATTCCCTTTATACTTGCTAAATCCCTTTTATCCAAAAAGTATGAACAAAACAGAAGATTTCATCACTTCCCACATAATTTCCATATTCAACTTTTTGCATCAGATTTTCCCTTTTTAAAACCATGAAAACTGTTGACAAGATAATCTAACTGTATGGAAATGGATAAAATAGGAAAAATATTTTTAGAGTGGCTTTTAAATTTTCCTCCAGTTATTTTATGTTCTCCATGATGTGAAATACCACTTTTGAGATACAACAAAAAAAACTCATGTCTCAAATATATTATCTAATAATCAATAATTTTACAAAAACAATGACTATAAGAGTGTGAATTTATTGAACTGAATTGCTCTCCATTCAAGAATATTATCTGTCAGTGACTAATTAAATTATTTTTATAACATTTAAAATATGCTTTAGGTTATCCATTGTAGCTATGTTATCACATTTGTCAAAAATAAACCCATTTGTATAAGAGCAATTGGTAATATATAGACCTGAGTAATAATGTTCAAGGAAAACATACTAAGATGCTTAAGGAATAATCCAGTATGGATTCCTCGCCTCTGAAACATCAATTGCAATTAAGAGTAGCTAATGACAATCAGAGGGGTCTTGAGATTACTGTATGCATGGCTCACTTTTGCAAATAGTATGCATGTGACCTGAGTAACTGGCCATATTGAACAATAACCAGCAGCCTGCCTTTGAAGGTGCATTAGATAATAGAAAATTTATGTAACCATAGTAAATTAATATTGTTTTAAGATAGATAGCCCATAAAATCTTTTAATATTAGTGTCTATCTTCTTTTAAATTATGACTCTTAAAACCTCTATAGAGAATTCTATAGGATAGAATGACTCCCCAGAATATCACATTCTTATAGAGGACCATTACCTAAAAAAGGATTAAAGGTAATCATTTGGAAATTTGCACAGTGATGTATCATCTGTTCTCCTAGAGGCAGTCTAGTATAATGATTAATAACTGGATCTCTGCAGTCAGAGACCTATACTTATAATAATAATGCCTACCTTATAGGGTTGTCAGGATTAAATGAGTAAATACATAGAATGTTAAATACTTAGCATAGTGGTTGGAGCAAAACATATCTTCAAATATTTCCTATAGTTATTATATTATATATTATTCAGACAAGCTACATGGGGAGCTTTCACACAGGAAAAAAAATATGAAGGTCAAATGCACCATAAAAATAGGCCACACTTGACTCATAGAGACAAGGTATAAAAAAAGTCTACAAAATCATACTCATTTTTACAACACTATTTGAAATACATTTTGTTTACCTCTAAGAATTGAGTTCAGAATGCCATATATCTCTACCAACATTTAATTCTAGTGTTAAAGCACAAAGATGGCTTAGAATGTTTATTTTGCCCCATGATTTTCATAGTCTGTACATGAAAAGAAGAAATAAACCCCCAGAATTAAATCTAAGAACAAACAATTTTTTTTTCTCTATCATTTCAAAAGCCAGGTGAGCAGGGTGGAATTTATCAGGCACAAGTGATCATCCATTCCAACACTCTGTGTGTTAGTGCACACCTTTTCAAATATTAGGTTGAATCTGTACTTGGCCACTGCCCTTCTTACTGTCTATTCTTATATCTTCTGTTTAAACTTCTTCAATTACACATCAACAGTATTGACTCTACAAACAACAAAGTTCCATAAGACATGGATTTTTTTTTTTTTTTAATTGCAATGATTGGTCTGGAGAGCTAAAGGAAATTACGTGAAGAAGGAATGCCAATGAGCCAGATGTGATTTGTAAATAGGTTCCCTCTCTGTACAACTTCTTCAAAGCAAAATTATATCCTGTCAAATGTACTGGAAATTTAGAATTTACTGGAGACATTTTTATGGCAGATTTCATTGATGAAAATTATAGCTTGTTTTTGCTGAATAAAAAACTTACTTACCTCTGGTAAAATACGTATTATTTTATTAGTAAATGTATCTCTTGAAAATGTGCATATGCAACAATGTGTAAGCAGAAAGTAATTCATAAAATAATTAGGATTATGGTTTTAATCATCTTAATGGAGCATAATATCCACTAGAAATGGCTCTCTACATAGAATTCTATATATCTAAAAAAACTACATCCAGCTCAAGTTCTTTGTGAATGATGGAAGGCTAAAAATCGATAAATGAAACACTCTCTTACCAGAATAAAATGATCCTAACATTTCCTTTCTTCCAGAAAGCTCTTGCAGATTTTCCCCAATCAGGATAGGGTTTGTCCTGAAGCATCATATCCGTGACCTGAAGCCACAAAAGGAACTTATTTAGCACTTCCAGAAATCTTACATTCAGGTTTAAATATGGATATAACTTACGCTTTATTGAGAATATGTAAGTATGTTAACACTTAAACATATACAGAGATAAAATTAAGAAGAATATATTTCCTCAGTTCAATTTTTTTTGCAGTTCATTTGACTTTACAAAATGAATGAGCAGATTGAAGGTCGTCTAACACGTCAAGTACTGAGACTTTTTTAGAAACATCGATCAAGATTACCTTACATGAGAAGGCATCTTTAAGATACCATGAACTTCTTCATAGAAGCAAAACATACATAACAAATAAAATACCATACTTTTTGCTTGTCTAAATCAGAAACTCCAAAATCTAAATACTTCTTTGTATGTATAGATTATTAACTGTATCACTAGCCAAAATATTACTCCCTTTGTCTCTGTTTTTTTTTTTTTCAGTGTTCTGTGAGGAATGGGACTGGACCCAGTTTTACAGCATATTTTAATAGCCTAGCATTCTCCCACCTCCATGCCATCTGCAGTCCTACATCTTTTTCCAAAAATGTTCTACCTCTCTTTCTCACCTGCAGATTCTGCCCATCTTCTGAGGCCTAGGCAAAGTCACGTCACCACTGTGATGCCCTCACTGCCCCTCCAACTAGTTCTGGATCCACCTTTCCGATGTCCCTTATTGCTTTCTACCTTCTATTTGACTTACTTATGTACATTTGTTCTCCCTCCACTAGGCTTTAAAATCCTTAAAGGTGAAGATTTGTCACTATATCCCTTTGAATAGCTAAGGTTCTTTTATATAAAAGACTGCAAAATATTTGCCTAAAGAAAACATAGCAAAATGATTTGATATAAATGCTTGTTTTTAAAAATGCATTAACAGAATAAATTTCTCATTGGCCACATCCCACATTAATGGTTTCAGGAAATGTCCAAAGTATTATACACAACCTATTATAAGAGCATTTTTAAAAATGTGATGGGATGGGTAATGAGTTTCCTTCTTTCCTCTAATAAAGGAAAACATATTTGGTGTATGTATATACACACACAAACACACACTTCTTCCTTTTTCCAGGAAATTTACCTTCCCTTCAAGAGAAGAGGATATTGTTCCATTAATGGGATTTTTATTTATTTATTTATTTTGAGAGGGAGAAAGAGAACATCAGCATGAGAGGGGCAGAGAGAAAGGGAAAGAGAAAATCCCAAGCAAGCTCTGCACTGTCAGTACAGAACCCAGTGCAGGGCTTGAACCCACCAACAGCGAGATCATGACCTGAGCTGAAACCAACAGTCGAACACCTAACCCACTGAGCTACCCAGGCACTCCTCATTAATTGGATTTTTATTTAATGACATTCAAATTCAAATAGGGCCAATTCAAAATTAAGAAAATTTATACGGAATCAGATATACTGAATTGAGTAACGAAGAATTTTCATCATCCATTAAAAAATACCTCTTTCTTGGTCTTAATATAATATTGCACTCACATGTAACTTCCAACAATGGCCTGACCTGGAATGGGTGAGATTTAATCATTTATGGTGAAAGATTTTGATTCAGTGGGGAGTCCTTCTGGATCAATGACACCTTCAGTAGTGCTAGACTTTCTGTGGAAGGCACATCAATTCTCAAGCAAGCCCATCTTATTGTGCTATACAACATCCAAGAAATGGTCTCTGGAAACATTCATAGCATGCAAGAACACAGGCTCATTTAAAATGCAATCAGAACAGAGGTTAAGGAGCCCAGTCTCCAGGAGATATTCAATCTTAATTCTTTATATTCTTTCTCAACATAATTTCTTGGACTAGGACTCCCACATTACTCCTGGTTGATGAGAACCAAAGAAAGTTCACTGATCTTCATGGAGTAACACTGCAGATTTATGCCAGCTCTAACATAGGGCTTACAATCATTTTGTGTGAGGTAGCTTTGAATCTTCAAATCAACAAATGCCATAAATAGTTTTAATATGAACCCTCAGTTAACTCTTTGAAATCATTAATTATATTGATAATTGTGAATGCAACTAACATTTAAAATTCAAAAGGGAACATTGATTTCACTTTTTAAAAAAATTTATGATTTTCTCATCTATTTTCTTCTTCCCAACAATTTAAAATTACAACTTTTTACTTTCTTACTCTAATGTACATGCATTGTATCTTCAATCAAATAAAATTCATGATATTTGTCAAAATGAACAAAGGGAGATGATAGAATAAAATTTAACCATGGGGCACCTGGGTGGCTTAGTCGGTTAAGCGTCTGACTCTGGATTTCATCGCAGGTCATGGGATCAAGCCCCGTATCAGGCTCTGTGCTGACAGCATGGAGCCTACTTATGATTCTCTCTCCCTCTCTCTCTGACCCTCCCTCATGTACGCTGTCTCTCTCTCTCTCTCAAAATAAATAAAAATTAAATTAAATTAAATTAAATTAAAAATAACCATGAATCAAGTGAGTTACACTGTTACTAAAAAGTGAATAAAAGCAAAAGTATAAAAATTTAAATCGCATGTATTCTTGGGCATAATAAGAGTTTTATATCATACCTTCCCTTGAGGAAAGAATTGTTATTCTTCCAAACAACAATTTTATCCACTACTCCTTTGTAACTTTCTTGAATAGCAAGTCTTGTGTCCATTTTTATTTATTTATACAAAACCTCAAGGTTAAGTAAATACTTTAATAAATATTTCATGTTATACCAGCTTCTTAAAAGATTTAATTAATTCTGTTCAGCAATATTCACCCTGTTCCAGAAAAAAAAGTCTACACGGTAATAAATATTTCCAAGGAACAGAATGATTACTGTGTAGATTTTATTCAATTTTCAATGTTTTCTCCAGGGCACTTTCTGAGAAATACTTATTATATTTTCTAGAAGAAGGCAATCTGCTGCTATATGACCAATAATTATAGCATCATGTTTTGTAAAAATGACATTGAAGGATAAATAATTTTCTCAGGAAAATGACACGATGAGGCAAACCCCGCGCCCACCCCCCCCCCCACACACACACATTTTTTTTTTTTTTTCTGATGCCAGACAGCTGGTCTTTTTCACTCCCCAGCTCCAACTCTTTATTTTAAGTCATATCATCAGATCAATGTCAGGTCACTTGCAGCTAAATTGGCAGGGGCAGAGACAGTCATTAAAGGGATGCATTCAATAAAGAAAAAATCCAATTACCTTCTGCATTAGAGAAATCAAATTCATTTCTGTTGGTGGTCAAGGACAGTCTTTGTGGGAAAAGATGCAGGAAAGGCAGGACTAAAGACCATGCACAAAGGGTGCTATGTAGCATAAATATAATGCAAAACTTGTTGATGCTTCTCCCAGAGGAAGATTATTAGAATTTGAAATTGCAGGTCTTTCTTTCCAAGCTGGGAAAATTTAACTCTTTGAGTCTCATAGATCTTGTCACTCTCCCTTTCCTCCCTATGAGGTCTGTGCACAAAACTCAGAACTTCATTACATCCCTTATCACATTATGCCTTGTCAGGTAGTCTTTCTCAGTAAAATATAAGCTACTGTAGGGCATAGGTATTATACAATCTGAGCATGAGCATGAATGTTGAGATTTCAAAGTCAGTAAATGATTGTAAAAGCAATTTATCTCTACAGAAATCTAAGTGGAAACTTTGCTCCCCTAAGTGGAAGCTGAGTAGATAGGACATGGGGGTAAAAATGGCAACAGAAAGACAGCAGTGACAACAGCAATACCATACGTTTGCTATAGAGCTTCATGGATTACAAAGCTCCTGGAGGTATTTTTCTTAATAATTGTCATAGCAGCCTTATAAAGTAAGTTGCTATTTTCCACTTTCCACCTAATGGAGAAAGAGAAGTCAGCGAGATGAAATAACCCATCAGGATCACACACGGAATGCACTGTTATGTGGGCCAGTTGTGGAGACAGCCTGCCGGCTGACTTCTGAGTTTTTTCTCTTACTAGCTTTTTATTTGCAACAAAGGAAACGTGCAACAAAGTAATTAATCTCTCTGAGCCTCAGCTTCTTATTCTCCATGTATGGACACACAATAGGTATTAGCAGATGTTACAAGAATTATTGATGTTTTTTTTGTTATCTAAAACTTCTACCCAGGGGTGCCTGGGTGGCTCAGTCGGTTGGTTGGCCGACTTTGGCTCAGGTCATGATCTCAAGGCTGGTGAGTTAAAGCCCCACGTCGGGCTCTGTACTGACAGCTTGGAGCCTGGAGCCTGGAGCCTGCTTCGGATTCTGTGTCTCCCTCTCTCTACCCCTGCCCCACTCGCACTCTGTCTCTCTGTGTCTCAAAGGTAAATAAACATTAAAAAAAATTAAGACTTCTACCCATTTAGTCAAGTATAAAGACATTAAACAATTGTTTGTAGGCTACATTGTTCTCATGGCCTGCATTTGCTTTATGTGACTGCGTTAAATGATTGGATTTAGAGTCAAAGGGTTTGACAATCAGTCTCATCTCTTCCATAAAGACAAGACTATAAGATACCGAACTATTAGAAAATGATAAAGATAGAGCATAATGTTAAAATATGTCCAGTCTAAAATTGCTATAAAAAAATAAAACTTATTGCCAAAGGCTGCAATAATCTAAGAAGGCTTCACAGAAGATTTGTATAATAAAACTGACCACTGATTTGTATCCTGTATCATTCTCCAATTTTGCCAGGTTTTTCTTAGCTTGATTATAAACTACGCACACACAGGTACTACATACTATATCTCTAGTCTTACTTGATACAGTTTTAGGTTAAGCATGTGATATTAATGAAAAATATTGATTAAATAGAGATAAAAGATCATAATATAATAATAATAACCGTGGCTACATAGTGCCCCTCTTGAGGTAGTTATTATTTAGCAGAGTATCATTTAAGAAAAATAAGTGTCATTCTCTTAACAATCATATACATTAAGGATATTAATGAACAAGCATATACATATAATTTTCCATGCTATTTTGCAAGTTA